TGAATTTTTAATGCAATCATTAATTGCTAATTGAAATGTATGTGAAGCACATCTAATACCTAATAATATGGAACTGGCATTTGATGCAAGATTAATATTTTCAATATTGAAAGGTTCTTTATTTTCATCATGAATTATATCATTATTATTTAAATCATCATTAATTAAATAATCGTTAAGGTCATCATCTTCTTCATCGTGTAGTATTAATAGCTTAATTAACTTAATCATATTTGCTGCATTATCGGTGGTTATTGTGTAAATCTGCTCAATTTTTATTTCATATTCTTTTAGAACATCTATAATAATTTTTTTAAGATATTCTGATGTGTGTCGTTCCTTAATCACTTTCATGCATAGAGTCCTTAATTTTATTTTTCCGTTATTTATAAATTGAATATTGATCCCCAATATGGACCTAACATATCTAGTTGTTATATCTAATTTTAACGAAATAAGTTTTTGATAAACTTCCTTTTTTATATTTTCCGAAAAATCTAACGCCATTTTTTTAATATTATTGCATATATTTTTCGAATTGATAGTTAAATTTCCACCCAATCCTATAATTATCGGTTCTATAATATTTCGAAATGCTTTGTCGTCAATTGATTTTATTGGCCTACCGTTAACTGTTATTAGCTCGGTGCAGGAGCGGATTAAAGTTTCTTTATTTATATTGATTTCTATTTTAGTAGGGTTGGACTTAAAAGCATCTTGGATTGTATTATACTGGTTTGCAGTTTTCGTTATTTGAATTTTTTTAATAGTCAAATTTTCTTTCTTTTTTCTTAATAATTTGAATTCCCTATTGTGGAATCTTTCTATATGTCGTTCAAGATTTGCAGCATGGTCCCCAGTTAAGACCTTACCACAATCTTCTATTTTACAAATAGATTGATTTTTTATGATATCTAATTTAAAATAGGAACGCACAGGATTTGACTTTTCCCGAACCATTTAATAGATAACTAAAAAGCTATATGATGATAGATGAAAATCTTTTATTATATAAATAGAATAAATAAAAAAGCTTAATAGAAACAATTTTACCTTCATTTTTATTTTTTTAAATAACTTGGATTATAGAATTTAAATGACAATAAATAAAATGGTCAGCAATAAATATTTTAATGATATAATAATTTTTTATTTATAAAAATCATATTTTTTTTAAATTCAGAATTCTAAAATTTATTATTAAAATAATATGTTAGTTAGCATTTACCATTATCATATATGCAAAATAAAAAAAAATATGATTAAAGAATGGCATTTGTAATAAATATTTTTCTAAATCTGTATTTTTAAATAATAAAACTATAAATCTTCAGTTTAAGTTAACTAACATTGCATTAAATTATTTTATACTTTTATTTATTTGTGTTTTATATTAAATAGACTTACATTTAAAAATAGGAATTATATTTTGATGTTAAACTAAATATAACTAGTATAGTTTAATTCAAATTACCCACTCTGATATATTCTATATAAACTAAGATAAACTTTTTTTGAATATATCAATTAATAAGAAATTATTGTAAAACAATATTATATAAAAATTGGTCAGTACTTTATTTCTATTAGATGTTAATATAATATGACAGAATAGGTAATTTAAGTTAAACTATAGTATTTATATTTAGTTTAACATCAAAATTTAATTACTATTTTTAATTCACTGTAAGTTTATTTAAATATAAAACACATTAATAAATAAATAAAAGTATAAAAATAATTTAATGCAATGTTAATTAACTTATTTAAACAGAAGATTTACAGTAAGATTTTTATTATTTAAAAATACAGATTTAGAAAAATATTCATTACAAATGCCATTCTTTAATCATATTTTTTTATTTTGCATATATGATAATGGTAAATGCTAACTAACATATTATAATAATAAATAATTTATAATATTAGAATTCTGAATTTAAAAAAAACAATGATTATAAATAAAAAATTATTATATCATTAAAATATTGCTGACTATTTTATTTATTGTCATTTAAATTCTATGATCCAAGTTTTTATAATGAGATGAAAAATAAACCATATAATATAAAAATGAATGTAAAAGGTACTTGATTTCTATTAGATGTTATTTATTAATAATAGAATTATATAATTTTTTCCTAATTATTAGCAGATATTATTCTAAAAGCTTATTAATATCTTATGTATAAATTTGTTAATTTAGCCAAGAATAATTATGTCTGATTTTAAGATATCTTATCTAATTAACAGATAAATTGTCTAATCTCTTATAAAATAAGTATTTAAAGAAAAAACAACAAACCTGGTATTATTTGATATATAATGTTGATAATATAAAAATATTTAATTTGATATATAATGTTGATAATATAGAAATATTTAATTTGAAAAGAAATCACCAATTTTAAAAATGCCCCCAAGGAAAAATTTTAAATTTAGGTTAATAATTTAAAATTAATTATTTTTAAAACCGTTTTGAACCGGTTTAAAATATTTATAACGGTTCGGTTCGCTCTTTTAATGTTTTCTTCATAACGGTTCGGCTAAGGTTACGGTTCAGAAAATCATAACGGTTCATTCCGGTTTTGTGGTTCGGTTCGGTTCGAACCCCTGGTTGTTTATTATATTAAAGGTCAAATCTGTTGATCATTCAAAATAAATCTATTCATTCATTATCATTACATAATACCCATATATATAGAAAACACACAAAAAATCAATTAGTTCAGAAAAAAGGGTGTTATGTTACATATTAACAGCTTTCTTAGCCTTCAATCTCATTAGTGTAATACACAAAGGAAATACATAGAGCCAACTGAATTTATAAATGATATAAAATCTTTATTTGAATTATTGTAAAGATCATTACCTTAATCATTTTAAGTATCATCTTTATAGCCATATATTTAATTTCTAATTAATATTGGATTTGTCACACTAAAGAAGTAACAGTGTGATCCAGTTTTATAAGAATGAAAAAAAGTGATTTTTAAATAAAAATATCATGGTATTTTATATAATTAAGTGTAGGAATTACCTATAATAATCTTACACTTTAAATCAGTTATTTCAGGAATAAGTATACCAATTTCCGATTTTAAAGAAAACAAAATTAAAACTCTCCCAAGGTGTCTAGGAAATGGAATAAATGATTAGTTATATTTTTCCAAATAAATATCCTTAATTCTAAATTTGGAAAAAAATTTTAGGCCCAAGCCTGGCCCAAGTAAATTTCCAAGGTCTCTGGTTTGAAGTCTAAAGTTAAAATGTTTGTTAATAATAATAATCAATTTAAAATACTCATCCCCTAGTCGACCAAATGTTGTTAGTTAAATGATTCTAAAATATTAATTTGAAATATTCATCCTCTAATCGACTCCCACTCAAGTTTATAGAAAACTTGTGTTCACGATTAGAGTCAACTTGACTTTTTAGCAATACTAAATTTCTCTCGTATCTCTATGCGTCGATGGTGAATCACTCTCTATTATGTTAACATCTCGTATGGCGCCGCTAAAATTTGAGTCATGTTCTTTTTTTCCGATTTGGTTGGGTACTTAACTATAATTAAACAACTATTTATTGAATGCAAAAAAATCTTTAAAAATTTAACATTTTGTTTGGTTACTTCATCACTTTGGTAGTTTCTGCCATCGAGTTTCTTTATTAAAAGTAATAATAAAAAAATACATGTTTTTATCCAAATGATTATCTTTTATATACAGTAAAATAAAACAATATTATATTTTAATAATAAAAATAAATATCAATAAATTATGGTAAAAAATAATAAAATATTTTTATAAGAAATTTAGATTAAATGATAAAATATCTTGAATAAAGTAAAAATATAAATCGCATTTTAAGTTAAGGAAAATATTAGAATATTAAAAATTTACCTAATAGAACATAATGTCATTTTTTGTTAAAACTATAAATATAACAGATGGTAAAATGTTTTTTAAGGTAAAAAGTCTTGAAATATAGTGTTCAAATTAGACAGATTTGACTTATCCAATTTTTATAATATTCACTCAAGATTTTTTTATAAAAAATATATAACTTTTATTGTAAATTTAAAAGAGAAAAAAACAATTTATTAGTTATATTTCAAACATAATAAGCTCTATCAGAGCGTTGGAGCTAATATAGTTAAAATATAACATGCCAAAAGTCGAGCATTGCTAAATATCTTTAAAATTTTTCAAGCATTTGCATATTAAGAATTTTATCGTCTACTAGTACTTGTATTAATTCCGAATAATTTTCATAATTTAAAAGTATATTTAAACTGTAATTTAATAAATTTTAATTTTTTTTATAATAACTACCAAATTCTCAAATATACCAAATTCTCAAATATACCAAATTCTCAAATATACCAAATTCTCAAATATACCAAATTCTCAAATATAATGATATGTTATAGCCCAATGACGAAGCGTGATGTTTACTACTAGAGGAGCAATTGACTACTTATTTATTACCAATTATAAATGAGCGAAATTCGCCTTTATTCTTGAGGAAAATGCTCATGAACTAAGATTGTTAGATTTTAAACTCTTTAATAATTTTTTTCAATTGAGATAGATTGGATGATCGATAAATTTTTTACTCTTTTTAAATATTAAAATCCCCACTCTGAACTTGCGGTTGTTGAAGCCAAAATTAGGTAGAAAAAAAATTGATTTCTTTTTCAAGTTTAGTAAAGTTGGTGTTAGTCTTTTTTCAAAAATCATAAAATAATTTTTTTTTATATGCTTCCCCAATATTATTTTTTTAACGTAATAATAAAAAATATATCGTGTGAGCATGATTTAAAATTATTATAAAAAAAATAAGAGATAAATTTATAGAAAATGAAACCCTTGCTATATAATTTATTATATATTCTTTTTCATAAATTTGTCTGAAATTATCTTATCGCAATACCAGTATTTTATATTAGGAAATGTTAATATTTTCTATAACAAAAACCCAAAATAATATTTAAAAAGCATATGTGATTACCCCATCTCGTCGATAACAATAAATTCCGGGGGTGATTGGGTTGCAGCGGCTAGTATACCTATGGGAGAACTGACCGTGTGGGAATGGCGCAGTCAGAATCGTGTAATCAAGCAAGCCAGTCACGTGGACGAGCTACGGTGCCTTGCTTACGTCCCCTCTTCCGACTGCGGTGGAGGAGCCCGTTTGGTTATGGGAAGTTTTGATGGAAAGGTTAGTAGAAAAATTAAAAGTTCAGGACAAGAAATGTAAGAAAATTTAATGAAAAAAGCACTAAAGTTAGTCAGCTTATACAAGGCCCAGTAACGGCTCGATTTGAGCCTATTTAAAAAAACGGCTAACTCAATATTGTATTCAGATAAATATTGCCCATATATGGTACAAAGGTCTGGGTATCTATTAGCGTAATTTCACTATGGTGGTAACAAATCCACCGTGTTGCCTCAAATTTTTATAATTGACATGACATAGCCTCATTTGTAATTTTAAATGTTTATTATAATTAAAATTAACTTCAATTAGATCAAAATTTGGGATACCGCGAGTGCCATGTGTCTAATGACCTTTAAGGAACACACCTCGGCCATTACCGATATCGTTTTTACTACCAAGGGCAACGCCTTCCTCTCTAGTTCTGAAGATGGGACCGTTCGGGCTTTCGACCTTGTCAGGTTTATTTAAAAATATATTATCTTTCTTTAAACATTAACTATTAAGAGGCTCGGGTTAATGTTAGAATTCTTTTCCCCTGTTTTTAGCTTGACTTAATTTTTGTTCTTAATTACCAATTCATTTTAGAAAATAGCATTGACACCATTTTTTATTAAATATAAATTTTGATTAGGCCATGATATCTTTAAAACATGTTTAAAATTGTACTTATTCCTATTTTTAAAATCTAAAAATCATTATCCAGGACAGCTATTTAGAATTTTTTTTTATAAAAAGGCGAGTTCAAGTTCAGCCTTGGCGTTTTTGGCCAAACATTATTTTTTAAAATGTGGTTTTAAAATATTCAAACATTTTTCGAAAAAAATGTAGAAATTTTATCAAAAAATGATGAGATTGAAAGGAACATGTCATGAGGAGTAGGGCGAATATGGACCTCCACTTCTGGTCAAACATAGTTTTGAGAGGGGAAAGATCCACTACGGAAAATATTAAAGTATCGGGCCAAGAGAAGCGGTTGTTTTTAGTATGTAGATAACGGATTCTAAAAAATAATAACTAACAATTCATATCCTAGTCAAAAGCATCATCGAACAATAAACAAAAATACTTTATTTAACCAAAAAATAAATGATAAAATATCAAAGGAGTTAAATCTCTTACGAAGACTATCGTAGGTCCTGGAGCCAGAGTTGTTCCCTTAATGTTTTAGAATTTGGATAATATTATATATTCATAAACAATCATCGCTTTTTTATTTTGCTCGAAGAATTGACTTGTATCTATTTTTGAGAGTAATCTGATTGCTAAAAAAATTGGATCAAGAGTTTAGTAGTCGGGCCAAAGGTTAGTGGCGGAATAATCAACACCTTCATCGTTCCTCATCAAATTTATAAAATCGAATAAATCTATAAATATTTGAGTTTGTTATATTTTGATTAAAATTGTCGAATTTCCCCACAAAATTGGAGTCAATTCAGAATAATGTAAGTGTAAGAAAAAAATTGAGACTATTTATCTCACTAAACTTTGGAAAGTAAACCTCATCAAGGTATCGGTGTTTCTTTAGGGATCTCACTCGCCCACAATTTAGCATCGTTATTCCTTGTGAAGCAATTTTAGCGCTATTCTTGAAATCGGAACCTTGAAAATGCTTTATATCATTCCAATATTATGGACTCGTTTTTCTCGAATATTTATGAATTCATTTGATTTTCAAATGTTATAAAAATTGGAGGAATGCTCCTATTTTAGTATAGAGGAACGAGGCAGGTGTTAATCTGTCTGGTATCACCTTTTCCTCCTGCACTCACCCCATATTATTAAATTTTCTGGTAATTACCACCCAGAAAGGTGCGATGCTTGCAAGATACAGGATTTCCCATTCAAAAAAGGAAAAGTCTCAATCATAAAAGGAATAGGCCCAAAAGAAAAGAAAATGGTCAATCATAAAAAAAGAAAAATTTCAAAGGATTAGGAAAAAGTCCGATCAAAAAAGGAAAATTTTCATTCAAAAAAGGATTATCGTTATTTTTTCTTGTCGATTCTTAAATTTTTATTATTCCTTCTTATTCTCTTTCTAACTTTTTGCGATTTCTTTAATTTATTCTTCTAACTATCTTTTCTCAATTTATTTTTCTTCTCATTTTTGATAATTTTTTTGTCTTTTAAAAAGTAATTTATAAATTTTCCCTGTTATTTTTCTTCACTTCTCCATTTTTTTAACAATTCTTTCCTTTTTTCATCATACATAACAATATTTTGACTTTTTTTGATTTTTTTTTCTTATATTGTTATCTTTTACATACATTCTAACTTTTCAATCTCTTTAAGTCATTTCTTTATTTTTCTCATCTTTTTTCAAATTTATTTAATTTTCACTTAATTTTTATTACTCAATGGCAGACAATTTTTTTATTGGAATTTTTTACATATCAAATTATTTAATTACAACAATTGCTAAATTAAATTAATCCTTTGGTTGTAATGTACCTTTTTAAAATTAAACAAGTTTGAACTGTTATACCAAACGATATGTAAATTAATAAAAAAAATATAATCATTTTTAAATTCTTATTTTTAAAATTATAACACTTATGCAAGAAGCATTCAATAATTTTGAGCAAGTAAATAATTTTTTTGTAATTATTTTTAAAACTATAATCTTTGATTTATGAATAATTAAATGTAAAATGAGATAAATGTTATAATCTAAAAGATTTTAGTTTTTTTGTCATTCCTTCCATTTGTTGAATATATATTTTAAAAGGAAATTTTTTTTTATTTTAAAAAATAAAATTGTGAAGATATGATAAAAACAATGGGAAAAAACATTAACAGTGAAACAAAAGCTCTAATAATTGAGGCGTTAAATAAGAATAGTATAAAAAATATTCATGTTTTAAGGAAGCTACAAAACAATGGCAAATATTAAATATACTCTCATCTCAAAAATGGAATAAAATATAGTTTGCTCAAAAGAGGTTCACGTGCACGCAAGAAATTAAATCAAGAACAGGAAGAATATATATTAAATATAAATTTGGATTGTACTTTATCCTTAAAAAGGTTATATGAAATGATAAAAGAAAGATATGTTTTGGAAATATCAAATATAGGGTATATACTCTCAGGATTTAGGTATAGCTTTAAATGAGTATCATTACGTTCAGTTAGAGAAAATGCACAATCAAATATCGAGATTCGCAAAGAATTCGCGAATTGGTTTGTAGATGTAGCCTATATAAAAAATAATTTATATTTATCAATGAGAGCAGGTTTTCAATATCAATGAGGCGGTTATATGAATATTCCTAAATATATAAAAAGGCTATTAAAAATGTTCAAGGCATAAAGATAATGAATTATAATATCATTGCTGCTCTCACAATTTCAGGACTATTCAGATTCTAAGTTATTGCTGGCCCCTGCAATGCTATATACTTTAGCAACTTTGTAAATGAAATATTAAATCATTTTGAAGAAGGTAACATGATGAATATGATTTTTGTGATGATGTTCCATTTCATCATATACAATTAGGGAATCTATAGAAAGAAGAAGGCATACATTGAAATATTTACTAGTGTTGTTAAACGGCTCAATTTGGGCCGATTTTTAAAAACGGCTAACTTAACATTATAGCCAGGAAAATATTGCCTAAGCGTCGAGATTTCGCCAATAGATGTTCAATCCTATGTGCCATCTATGAGTAAAAGCTTGCATAAAATTTTTCTGGATAAAATAATGAGTTAGCCGTTTAACAAACTAATATTTACCACCTTGAGGATTTTGTCAGAAATCAAAATCCCAGGAACGAGAAAGAATTAATTCGTTTCATAGTGCATGGCGAGAGAGGAATAACTGAGGAGAATGCAAAAAATTATTTTAGAAATATAGAGACTTATATTCTAAAATGTAGAAAAGGGAAAATTATTATTGATTAATATAAATTTTTGTTTCTTACTTTATTACATATATATCGCATGTAATATAATTTGATATATAAGAAATTTTAATAAAAAAATTGTATGCCATTGAGTTAGAAATTAAAAATAATTACAAATAAGAATTATCAAAATGAGAAGAAAAATAAATTGAGAAAAGATAGTAAGAAAAATAAAGTAAAGAAATCGCAAAAAGTTAGAAATAAAATAAATGAATAAAAATTTAACAAAAATTGAAAAGAAAAAGAATTTATATATAAAAAATAACGATTTTCCTTTACTTAATTGACACTTTTTTCCTTATGGGAATTTTTCTTTTTTGATTGACATTTTTCCTTTGTGTTTGGGAATATTATTTTTTGATTGACACTTTTCTTTTTTATTTGACACTTTTCCTTTTTTGTTTGACACTTTTCCTTTTCTGATTGAACCTTTTCCTTTTTTGATTGACACTTTTCCTTTTTTGATTGACAATTTTTCTTTTTTGATTGGATCTTTTCCTCTTTTGATTGAACCTTTTCCTTTTATGATTGATCCTTTTTTGATTGTGCCTTTTCCTTTTATGATTTTTTGATTGGGACTTTTCTTTTTTGAATGGGAAACCCTGTAAGATATTGATAATTGTAATCGAGCACTGAAGAGTAACCACGTTTTAACACAATTTTATCTTTTAATGGTTCGGAGAAAAACGCCTGGGCCTAGCAAACGATATTGTGGAGGAGGGCTATCTTCGACATTTCTAGTACATAAGGACAAGACTTCCCCTCTTTAACGTTTCTGTATTTGGCATCTTACCGTTTACAATTCTTTGTCCTATAAATTCTTTCTATTTGTTCCATCGAGTTGTCGATTATTTTATTTTCTATAATTCCCAATATGAACTATATTTCTTTCTAAAAAATTCCACTTGATTGATGTTTATAAACAAAATTTTTACTAATTCCACAATCAGGTATCGAAACTTTAGAACTTTTACTGCTCCCGAAGTGACGCAATTCGCCTGTCTAACGGTCGACACCTTGGGGGAATTCGTTTTTGCCGGCTCCTCGGCGTCTTTTGAAATATACTTGTGGTCCATGAAGACAGGAAAATTGCTGGAAGTTATTCTAGAATATTTATATATAAAATAAAAGAATTAATTAAGCCTTTTTTTATTAATTGGATGTAATGTAAAATAAATTTTTAAACTTGATTTTATATCTGCATTCTTTCCGTTTCGGTCTAGATTGTTCATATTCCTTCCCATTTAGTTTATTGATATATTCTTTTTCGTTATACTTATCCTTAACAGGGTGTCGAACCGAACCACGAAACCGTAATGGACCTTTATATTTTTCCGAGCCATAGCCATTATCTAACCATCAGAATTACTTTTGAACTGGTTCACAACAGTTTTTAAAATTTTATTTTTGTTATTTCTTATTCAATTTCTATAATAAAATAAAGAACTTCAACTTATTTTCTTTAATTTTTGTGGATTCTGAAAAATATAAATTGTCTCTTGAAAAAATAACAACTGTTTGTTTATTTAACTGCTACTAATATATATGGTGAATTCCATATCAAATCAACAAAAAAAAGTCGATTTTCAACCCGACTCCCTTCAATTTTTCTTAAATTTTGTATACTGGTAGTATATACTATAACTAAGAGAAAAAATGAAATTTTACCTTCCAACACACTGCTTTATATTTATACAAAATCCTAGACTGGGATGAACATGGGTTTAGGAGTTATCACTCTTTATATGGCTAAAATTGGACAAATTTATCATTAATATCATCATATTTTAATTTAATAAATAGTTATGAAATAATGTTAATTTAAAAATTATGTCTAAATGATAGGCCCTTACTTTTTTTTATCTTTATAAAAAAAATTGAGAGGTGGCTGGGATAATGAGCTGTTTAAAACTTTAGTTAAATTTTATCTCGAAATTAAAATTACTTGACAAAAATTTTAAATATTTTATTTAGCATAAAATAATCTACCTAAATTGAAATTCAACAATAATTTTCCCCCATATATTCAAAATTAAAAGAAAGGTTTAATATATTATTTGAAAATTCTATAGATTATAAAACATTCAAACAATGGATAGCAGTTGATTGAACTACCCTCGAAACACTGACAAAATCCGCTGACGAATTTGTAATTCCTCATTTGTTTATAGCTTCACGATAATCATTAATTCGAAACATTTTAAAATTCAATTTAAATGTTGGCGAATTCTTAGTTATTGCAGACTTTTTAGAAAACTATGCATTTGTAGTGCAGAACCATGCACAAGGATTTAATCAGACCAATAATCAAGCCACTATAAACTCTTTTATAATTTATTACCGTGAGATAGGGATCTGCATCGGGCCTAATTTTACAAGCCAGGCCCGGCCCGAAATTCTATTCAAAAAAATTTTGCCGGCCAGACCCGTACCCGAAATTTTTTTAAAAAGTTTTGCCGGCCCAAACCCGAAATTTATTTTAAAAAAATTTACCGGCCCGGCCTGAATTTATTTAAATATAGAAATTAATTTTTATAATTACTAAAAATAAAAGACATATGTTATATGGCGTTAAGTTTCAATATGTTATATGGCGTTTAGTTTCAATAAATTAAATCAAAATTTTTTATTTTACATAAAAAATTCAATATAAAATTGATAAATTTAGATATATTTAAAAAAATTTCCAAGGTCCGACCCGACCTGGCCCGAAATTTTTTTAAAAATATTAGGTCCGGCCCGAACCCGATTATTTTAAATAGAATTAGGCCCGGACCGTAGCCCGTTCGGGACGGGTACGGGCCGGGCCAAACTTTGCAGATCTCTACCGTGAGAACAACATAATAAAACATGTAAATTTAGTGGTTATATCAGATTGTTTAAAGCACAACTCATGTGCATTTAATTTATTTTTAAAATTTATCGTATTCTTGAAGGAAAGATTTAATAGAGTGGCTAAAATTTATTATTTTTCTGATGGAGCAGTAACCAATATAAAAATAAAAGATTTCATTAATCTCTATGAAAATATTTTGGGATAAAGGCTGAGTGACATTTTTTAAAACCGCGCAAGGTAAAAGCATGCGACATTTTGAGGGCCGTTATTAAACGGTTAGCAGCTCGAGCAAGCTTGCAACGTCCATATGAACATCACATATTGACAACAATACATTTATTTAACTATACAAGAAATAATATCTTTGGGGTAAATTATATATTTGTGAGCAATAATGAATATATGAACATAGAAAGTCATCTTGAAAGCAGATTTTTGAGAGCAAAGAGAATTTCTGGAACACAAAGTTCAAAGCTTTTATTCCCATAGACGAAAACAAAAGTCATAATTTATTAAAATTCCTTGGATGATTATAATATATGATATATTTTAATTATAAATTTTTGATTGTATTATATGTAATTCAATTTGAGGCAAATAAAGTTATAAAAATGTTTAGAATTATTTTGTCAAGTAACTTCTAGACAAAATTTAACTAAAGTGTTAAACAAAGCTCGTTATTCCAGCCACTTCTCAAATTTTTTTGTAAAGATAAAAAAAAGTAAGGGCCTATCATTTAGACATAATTTTTAAATTAACATTATTTCATAACTATTCATTAAATTAAAATATTATGATATTAATGTTAAATTTGTTCAATTTTAGCCATATAAAGAGTGATAACTCCTAAACCCATATTCATCCCAGTCTAGGATTTTGTATAAATATAAAGCAGTGTGATATCTATCTACAGAAAAAAAAATTTGAAAAAAAAATACCATTTTTTTCTATGGCCATTTTCGGTTTTACACATCCGGTTTTCGATATTAATGAAATAAGAACTTTTATTAAGCTACAAAATAAAATCTATATTATTTTTCTAACATAATTATTTCTCGAGATATTTGAAAATAAATGAGGTGCATTTTGTCAAAAATGTACCATTTTTCCGTGCTTTAAACGGCCATATCTTAGCGGGTAAACAGTGTTGGAAGGTAAAATTTCATTTTTTTCTTAGTTATAGTATATACTACCAGTATACAAAATTTAAGAAAAATTGAAGGGGGTCGGGTTGAAACCTTGGTTGATTTGATATGGAATTCACCATATATACATTTAAAATAAGCAATTAACAATTATTTTGATTAAAATAATAAATTAAACAATAATTTTTTACAAGCCATTTATATTTAAAAAACAAAACTTTTTGATATTTTTAAATACAATATCTTTCTACCCTTTAACTTTGATATCTCTAGGGTTTTTCTTATTCGAGAAGGATATCACTTTTTCAGGGGTTCTGTCTCCATCATCGTTGTCACATCAGTTAAAAGTTCTGGGGTGGGTGCTATGAGGGGTGCATTATGTTCCACTCCCTTTAGAGTTGTCTATAATCGGTTTTTAATTAATTTCTGCTTTACCTAATCTGCAGGTTTTGTCTCAGTTGAAGTATTCTTGTTGTTATTGACTGGTTTTTAAATGATTTGAATCTCTTCTCCATAATCCTTTTTCTCTTTTTACGAAATATGACATCGGACCAATCTGTTTACTTACTTGGGCTTGAATCGACCATGATCTCCCTAATAATCGACCCAGTATTTTTTTCTTATATCTTAAACCTTTTTGCATTTCCACATAATATTCTCCCTTCTCATTGTATTGTGGCTTAAATTTTTTTAAAGGCCTAGATTTTAGGATATGTGATGCAGGTGAAGATTTTATGGTATGCGAAGTAGGCTAATAGAAAAATATCTATTTATTCCCTTGAGTTATGCGTTTTTCTAAGAAAATTTATAAACGTTTATACAAATCTATCCGCTTCCTAATTCGATCTTGGGCGATATGGCTTTTATAATCGTGAATTTATACCTTTTCACATTCGCATGATATTATATTTTCGTATATGCATTATTTAGTAGAGATGTAAAGTAACGTCAATACTAACGGCGTTATCTTTTTTGAAGAGAAGAAACGCCATTCGTTACCTTCTTCTAGATGTAACGAACGATTAACACGAACGCGTTTCTTTTTTCTGAGTAACTGTAACGCAAAATGTTACTCGTTACTTTAAATTTTTTCTTAAAAAATATGATAAAAGCATATTTTATTGTATTATAAAATTATTTTTATTTATATTATAAATTTTATAAATAATTTAAGCCTAGTTTTTAAGTCAGATCAACCACCAAATTCTTTCATTTTTATTTTTAAATTTTCTTTCAATCAAGATTATTAATCTAATTAATATTGAATCAATCAAGATATCTTAATATATATTCTTATCCTCTAATATTATAATTTATTTATAAAGAATATTATGTAAATTCTATATATTTTTTCAAATGAAGATGATTTAACCGACCCTGGCCCCAATATGAAACATTTCTTACGCCAATAAAAAAAAATTAAAAACCGGTTACAAGATGGAACTTTTTTTATAAATCGGTGAAATTTATAATCTTATTAAGGAGAATGGCCATTTTGACAAATCTCATGATAAATCCGAATTTTAGAGATTTTCAAATAATGACAAGTCGTTCATAGATATATTGTATGTTATGCAGTGGCGTCGCTAGGGGGGGAGCGCACAGGGGCTCGAGCCCCCTGAAAAATTTTAATAGCCCCCTGAGGCAAAAATTTTTTTTTAATGACTCCTTAATATCCCTTTGAACTAAAAATGAATTTTTTTAATTGTTCCCTGAACAATTTCTTTTATAATTCTATTGAGTAGTATATAGATTTAATTTTATTATTTAAAAATTAATAAGACTATCTAAATTTTTATTAAATGAATACTATTTTAATTATTAGATTAGATTAATACATATAAATTATATTTTCACTATGTCAGCTTGCGATCAAATTCTGTGTTAAAAATATATCAATATCACTCAATAAATTTTAATTTAGCATTAAAAGTTGAATTTTAATTGACTTTTATTATTTAAAATATTATATAACCCTAATTAAATTAATATAATCATTTATTAATTGAAAATTAACAAATTTAATTGTAATTAGCCGAGTTTAACAACACTAATCAACTATATTGTTGATTTTTAAATTTAATTATCATGTCTCTTTCTAAAATTATTTTCAAGGT